CCATAGCAAGATTTTTTTTAAATATAGACCTACAGAGGAGCTGCTACATGAAAATGTAGGGCGACTCATTTATACCAGGAGCAGCACTTCTAATTAGCTGCTTTCCACTTTTGGCTGCTATTCTTGTTATAACAGACAGAGAATGTGCATGAATTCACTACTTCACCTGCTGACTGACTAAAGTCCTGATGAGGTTTGCTCACCAAACTGTAACAGTGAGATTTCAATAAAAAAAAAAAATTCCTTTTGTAAGTGAATCAGTGTCACTGGGCGTGTGTGTGTGACTCAGGTCTATTTTCAAATCCAAGGGAACTTGTGAGGATTAGTTTCTCACAGTTTTCTTGCTGTTTTGCCTCGTTGGACACAACGCTGGAGTCGCTGCGCTCACCTTTCTTTTTAAACTTTGCTACGCGGGTATAAACAACAGTGATTAAGGCTGACACTGCGTCTCGACTAAAGGCCTGCAGCGCTCCGGATCCACAGAGAGCTGCAGCTGATGAGAGCGGACTGACAGGTCTGTGTGAAGCTGTCAGGAGACGCTCTGCACACACATACACACACACAGGGAAGCTCACAGCAACACCGGAAGAGAGACAACCGCATCTACAAAATAAAAGCACACATTTTACTACGTTAAGGGCGTGTCACGCTTCAGACTAACCAAAGATTCAAATCTAAAATAAGAATATGTTGTTGATTTAGCCCTACATTTCAATGTAAAAAAACTAAAGCAATTGTAATGTGATTTCTCAGCATTCAATAAATGTAGTGTATTAAATTATATTTAATTCTTATCATCCTTAAAGGTAATTATATCAATACATGATTTAAATATTATTACTGCCATTTTGGTGGGGTTTTTCCCCCCCAACTGATTTAATTTAAGCTGTTGGATAATTCAATTTATAATAATAATGCACCTTACCTTCTAAGATTATCATATGCGTTAGTTGAGAAATTTATCTGTCTCAAGAAAGCTTTATTGCTCATAAATATAATTGTAGGCCGGCAGATTAGAAATAAACATAGAACATAAACATAGAATAAGCATTTTTTTTTGTACAATTATGTACAACTATTCTGTGTCAAATTACAGGACAAGAAATGTTCTGTATTGCAGGGAAACAGTGAAATTTTTACTATTTTTTAATTTATGCGAAATGTACTTTTTGTGTATCCCTATGATTATACAGTTTTGTATTTTTAGATTTATAGTAATTTTAGATGCAGTAACTTTTATCCAATGATCACGTGTGAAATCTTAATCTGCCTAGTAACAACTGTTGTCATTAAAATATAGCGAAGTCAAAGTCAGTATTTCCCTCAGAAAATAAAGAAAGCATCATAAAATACTCAAGTAAAGTGCCTTGAAATTTAAGTACATTTCTCGAGCTAATGCTGCTCTTTATCTCTGGTATGAATCTTTGCCTGAATCAAAGTTTTAAAATCATAAAAGCTGAGGCACCAAACAGCCGGAGGTTGAACTCCAGTAACCTCCGCTAACTTGATAGTAGGGTCCGGAAAAGCAGCGAGTTGCAGCGAGGCGACTGAAGAGAGTGGAGGAGAGGAGGAAGGAGGATGATGGGAGCGAACATTAGTCCCTTCAAGTGACCCACATCTGACAGCAGAGCTTCGTTTGTTGTTGTTTTTTTTTTATTATCCAGCCTACTTCTTGTTGTCGAGGGTTTCTCTCCGCCGACATGTCTGCGTCGGCGATCTTCATCCTGGACCTCAAGGGGAAGGTAAGTTAGTTGGCGACGACTTGTTGGTGGGGAAGTTACCGGGGAAGCACCTGCCTGCTAGGAACCTGGACGTTAGCTTAGAGGAAGCCAGGGAAATGTCACAGAAATGAAGAGCGTGTCAGTTTTTTATTGGTTTACTCTTGGTCTGGACATCATGTGGCAGATATAGTAGTGTTTCCTGACAGCTGCTTTGCTAACTTGTGAGCCGCAGACAGGAAGAGAAGCTCAACTTGCCAAACTCGTTGGTCCAGCAGCCTTCAGTGCACACAGAGAGGCTTGTTCTAGTGCACTGATGCAGCCCTTATTGTGTGTGATGTGTCCTATTTCAAAGTTAGAAACTTCAGTCTTTGTAGCCCCAGCAAGTTATCACAGAACAATTACTGAGCTATATTTAATTTTGGGGTGAAGGTGTGGAGGATGGCTAACTTTAGCATTGGATTTCAAGAGACTCAATTATGATTGAAGCTAAAAACAGAAGTGGATTAGCTGGTTTAGTCAGTGATAGCCTTTATTCAAGCTGTAATGGCCTCTAAAATGTGTGAATTTACAGCTGCTTTTGTATGTTTTATATCATTTGCAAGTGCAACTAAGAATTTCCCTCCATCTGCATATTTTCTTCATTATTAAACAAATCTTCAGAAAATAGTAGGAAAAAAAGCCCATTCGTGTTCTCCAGGGCTCAAGGTGACGTCTGCAGTTTGCTTTGCTTGTTTTGCCAACAGATCCAACACTGTTTACTTTGCAATCATACAAAAGACAACCAGAAAAACAGCAAATATTCACGTTTAAGAAGCTGGAAACAAGGGATGCACGATATATCGGCGACCACGTCGGTATCGGCTGATATTAGTTCTTTCCGATGAACAAATTTAGCCGATGTGAAAAACCGATGATTGTCTAACATGAGCGGCTTCGTCTCTACGTTTGATATTGCTGCTATTTCACAGATGTTTTTACTGAAATGCTCCTGGACTTGAATGTTAGGTATGTTAAAATATGTTTAAATATGTTTTACTTTTGTTCCGTAATGAAAAAGACTGTGTGGTCTAATTCGGACTTCTTTTGAATAGTTTTCACATTCTCACAGTGCTTACCTATACTCATTTTTCTGTGTGAACAAAAATTGAACATCGACATCGGTAATATCAGTTATCGGCGATATCAGAAATATAATCGGATATTGGTATTGGAAAGAAATTTTACTATCGTGCATCCCTCCTGGAAACCCTGAGTTTTTGGCATTTTGCTAAAAAAAATCCCGTATTATTTATCAAATCATCTAGTAGAAGTCCTCAGTTCCCCAACCAATAGTTTTATCTGTCTCTGTGAGTTGGCTTGGGAGTGTTGGTCAGACAAAACAATTTGATAATGCAACCTGTGAACTTGTTACTGTATGCATGCATTTTCACAATTATCTGACATCAAAAAAGTAAGTCAGCTTAATCAATAATTCAACTAATCCTCAATTTTAGCTTTAAGAGCATTTGCAAGAGTATTTTAAGTGTTCTAAATGTAAACACTTAATTGCTGCATTTATTCTAAATGTATGACCAAGCTTACTTTATTCGATTCTGCAGAAGTTATTTGTTTTAGAGCCAGAAAAGGAATTGCTGAAGACGGCTTACGTGCTTGACAACATTACCCATCAGGGAGGAGGATCAGACCTTAGTTGCCTGGATGTCTGATTGCACAGATTAAAGGTTTTCTCTTCCTCCCTCGTGTTATCCATCTATCTATCTCTGCCCTGGGGCAAGTCGGTAGCTCTTCACCTTCAGTCCTCGCCCTCCCCCCTCTGCCCCGGCCAGATGAGATCCTCTATTACAGCAGCAGAGGAACGAAATTGGATTGCAGTTAAACTAGAATGCAGAGCAGGGTGAAAATATTCAAAATGACACCATCGTAAAAATAATCGCACAGGCAATGATGGCAGGCGGTCATGCGCGGATCCG